TTGGATATTGCAGTTTCTGGAAGCAGTATATATAGCAGACAAGATTGCGAGCAGTTCAGCTTTAAAAGAGCATGGCTATAGTAAGATTTGTGTATGAAATATGTGAAGAATATTGTCATTATCAACCTGTAGCCAAATGATCTCTATAGAGCATTGAAGGTTTCCAGAATTAATGACAGATCCATCAGTATAGAATATAAGATTAGTAGAGTAGTAATTATAATTAGCAAGCTGTTGAAAATTATTGAAAGCAGTATTGGTTAGAAATATAGAAGAAGTTCATAAAGCTTGTAGAATAAGATTTGGGGGTGCAGAAACTGAAATAATATTTTAAAGTTTAATTGAGTGTATTATATCAAAAGGGCTTGTATTGAAATTAATTGATTTGTTAAGATAAAATCTACCAAGAAATTTAACTATATAGCTAGTGGAAATAAGAATAGTGTATTTATTATTAATAATATTAGAGTTGAGAAAGCAGTTAAGACATGGTTTTAAAATTATATTGGGGTAGGGTATAATAGTAAGGAAGTAGTTATAAGGTTGCATTGCCAGTGAGTGACTAGTATATATTCATAATTTGTAGATTGGCGACAGGCTTTGCCAACATTATATATAATAACTATTAAAAATTCTTGGGAGTAGTTTACTTTTAGATATAAGAAATTTCTATGTTTTTTGTCTAAAAGAAAGAGGTAGCTTATTTTTAGAGTAGCTTATTTTTAGAAATAGATAGTATTGTTATGCTTATATAAAAACAGTATTATTACTTAACCATCATTCAAAATCAAAACATAATAATTACTAGCTATTATAATTTTGTTTGTTTTTAATTATTTAAAATTATATTTTTAAATTATATTAATAATATAAACTGTTTTAGATTATATATTATAATAAATTAGATTATTATTGTATATAAATTTATCTAATTTCTACTCAATTGTATGTAATCTTTTTTTATTTAACTACAGTCAGATCTCTTGAAATGCACATCTTTGGGACTATATTTTAATAATATATATTTAAGGAAAAGTGTATTTATTAGGTCAAGTATATATTTGGACTAGCATTTATACATGTATTTAAAGAGTATATTTAAAAAGGTTTGACTATATTTTTAATTTGTTTGATATATATATTATGTTCTGTATAAAAATTTCTAGCTATACTAATATATTTTTTATGAAATTTGTTTAATTGTGTTAAATTAGCCAACTTCATAAAGATTATGATTATTGATAAACTGTGATATTTGATTGTTTGATATTTACAATCAATCTGAAATTAATAATCAATGTATAAAAATTGAAACATAGATACATAAATAACTGTGACAGATTAAAATAAAATCAGATTAAAATGAAATTTTAATATTTTTTAGAAACGATTTAAAAATTTTAGAAGACATTTTTTAGGGTTAGAGTTAAAGTTAGAGTTAGGGTTTAGTGTTAGATTTATTAAAAAAAGAGTATAAGTGAGTTTTATAAGCTTTAAAGAGGAGCGAGAGAGGTCTCCCGTTTCATTTTAATCTGATTTCATTTTAATTTGCAACAATAACTAGCTATTCTTATTCACATTCTTAGTTATTATTTCATTTATTATTTATACTTTGTTAATATTAGATTAATTAAGATATAATTAATATTATAAGTATGCATTAGTAAGTCATATACTATGTATTATTAAAATAGTAAGGTTTGTAGCATTGTACTATTGCTTTTTTGATTTAGTAAAATTTGATTATTACATAATTTTTGCTAGCTCTATAAGTTCTATGATTATGATAAAGCAGTTATCTAAATTTATTATATTTCAGGATGTTCTATAGAATAGATGGGCAAACTCCGAAAACTCTGCAACTCTGCTAAATATTTATTAATAATTACTAATCATTAGCGGTGTTTATTTTTTATATTGCCTACCTATTCTATAAAACATCCTATTTTCAGAACTCATTTTATAAGTACTTTTTTAGATATTTTTATTATATTTTTTTGATAGATTTTATAAATATAACAAATTTAAGAGATTATATCTATTGTAATCATAAGATTTATTAATCTCACAAAAAATTCACAAACTATGCAAATTAAGCTAGATCAAAAGAATAATAATAAATTCTGTAACAAAAGGTTTTATATAAGCTCTTGATATTATTATATAAAAATTTATAGTTTGACAGAAATCAACTTAGCCAACAAACAAATCAACAAACCAACTATCTACCAAGACAACCTATCAAAAGAGGCATTTAGATTTGGATAAGTAGATAGTTCTAAAATTTTAGTTATTAACACTGTAAGAGTAATGTAATAGTTATATAAGTTCAACAATTAATTGAACAATAATGTCTCTACTATAGAACTTAGTAGATTATTAAGAAAGAGATCATTAAAATATAAGAGACAATGTATTGTATTTAAAAACTTCAATGTTGGAATCTCTGCTTGCAGTGGAGTGAAAAACTCTTTATTTATAATAAAACTAAGTAAATGCATAGCAATGTTTGTCTGGAACTCAATTTTAATTTTTTGCTATATAAATTTTGCCTTTTTAAAATTTGGAGGTTTTTAAAGAAAACGTTTTTCTTTACTAAGTAAACATCTTTTCAAGTTCTAAATAAAGTTGTAGAGGAGTTTCTTGCGATCAAAATGGTGGTTAAAATTTTAAAATCGACCTAGTAGATCGTGAGATATAAGTACTTTAGTCTTCGCAACTATATGTTATCTTTTTTATTTATAAAGAAGAAACATATAGTTGCAAAGACTAAAGTACTTATATCTTGTGATTTACTGGGCCGATTTTAACGTTTTAACCACCATTTTGATCGCAAGAAACGCTTCTACAACTTTATTTAGAGCTTGAAAAGATGTTTACTTAGTAAAGAAAAAAGTTTTCTTTATTAAAAACTCTTAATTTTAAAGACATTAATATTTGATGCATCAAGAAAGTAACTTTAGTATCATAGCAGACAGACAGAAAATGCAAAATGACTTTTTTGATATTTTAAGATGTGATACATCAAGAAAGTAACTTTTGTATCACTATGCATAGAAATTAAAGGTCTGTCACTTCGTTTCAGACAATAATACATGTCTTAGAAACAACAATACTAATAATACTGTCAATAACATCTATAATATTCTTTTTGTTATTGTCAATAGAATTCTCATTATTGTTGTTATCACTAGTACTCACAGTAAGGCCAGGATTGGCAACAATATTAATACTGACAAAACTGGCAGAACTGTCAATACCATGGTGCACTCAAATAAACCAAAAATTTATAATACCGCAGTGGCAATGTTATAGCTATTTTTATAAATTCCAAACACCTAAAATTTTTCTCATTTCTTGGAATCTTTTTGATTTTGTCTGGTAAATTACCAAACTCTGAAAACTACATCACTGTCTCCAGACTGAGGGTTTGAAAATAGGGATGTATTTTCCAGAGAGCTAGGTAATTTACTGAACAAAACCAAAAAGATTATGGGAAACAAGAAAATTTTAGGTGTCCCAGAATTTATGAAAACAACTGTAATATACGATCAGCAAAATTTGCCAGAAGGCAAATTTTCTAGGTTACAATAAAAATTACAGTAATTTATAGCAAACCAGCTCAACCTTAATGACATACCATATATCACTAGAATAATTAATAGGTTTTGTAACAGAATTTGTGATAATTCTATAAAACTAACTCAACCTTATGTGTCATGGAATTAATAAACAAGTTTTGTAAATCAACTGCAATGCTCAATAGAAAAATGCAGGGGCACCAATGGTGCCCCATTTAATCCTGTAAGCATATAAAAATTATTATTTATATTTTTGAAAACAGTTATAATATTTGAATTTTATGACTATAGAAAAAAATCGTCCAGTTTATCGAATTATTAAATTACAAACTTTAGAATTTACCCTTTGTTTATTAATTGGTTAAGGTAATTAAAACATGTTCATTCTCTCATTTGACTTTTTATTTTGTCTAGCTCTGTGATTATCATGATAGTGATTTGATGGTTTGAGATAAGCTATTGCACTTCAATTTATCTATTTATAATTTATTTTTTATTTGCAAAATTTTACTATATGTAAAAGAATATTTATTATCACTCTTTGGATTGATGATCTTTTCATAATTTTTTGAACCCGTGAACTATGTTCGTGTATTCTTTGAAATTATCAATAAAATATTTATTAATCTAAATATTTAAAATAAGCTATTCAAATTTTATCAATCTTTTATTTATTATTATTCTCATTAAATGATAAAAATTAAATCTAAGTAACAAAGTAAAAATGTCTAATATGAAAATCTAATTTAATGAATAAAGAAGTTTAATTTGAGAAATTTTGCATAACGTGACGAGATATCAAAATAATATATAACAGTCCAAATTCAACATTTCAAGGATGGATAGTGGGGATGAAATATTGAAATGATCTCGATTTGAATGAATATACGACTTAATCAATCATTTGATAGACTTAAAAAAATTAGTGGGAATTAGCCCAAGTAGTACCGCAGGGGCGCCGGTGGCGCCCCCATTTTTCGCTTGTAATTACATCAATGAACCGTGACGCACGTGACACAGACCTTTTTAGTTTTCAATTAGGATAAAAGTTGAACGCATTTTTTATGATAAATATAATCGAATATATTTCGTTAGATTTTTTTCCTTGAAAATCATTAATGAATTACACTTTTCTAACTTTCTATTGATATTTAAACAGATAAACTATTAATCTCACTATAAAATTTTCTAGTGCCGTTTCAATAGAAACAAAAATGTAAATGGTTGCAAATGTATTTGATTAATATACTAATCAAAACAATTCTTAGAGCATAAAATCAGTTGTTAGGAAAAATCATTTCACAAATAAGAAAATATCAAATTGATAAAATTTTGATATTGCTTGTAATCTGAAAGTATCAGTAAAATCTAGTTTATTACATAACAATGACAAGAATATAAATGTTTACCTTTCGCTTATTAGAATTTTCCTTTTTTCATTTTAATTTTTTCCAAAAGCTCTATGGCTTTAGGTTGACGTTTCAAGGCGGCTAATCTAATTAATTGTTCCCCCTTTGATTTATCAATTGGGATTCCAAGCTTTCCATTCCAATAAATGTCACCTAAATTATAAAGTGCGGTAGGATTTCCATGATTTACAGCCATAGTAATATACTTCATTATTTCTGGAACATGCTTTTTGTCCATGTTTTTTTCACCTTTGCCCTTTTCTATAAGAGAAAATGCATATCGAAGTTGAGCTTCTACCACACCATTATCGGCAGCTTCTTTAAAAAGTTTGAGTGCAGCCTCGAAATTTTTTGATATACCAAATCCTTCTAATAAATAATAACCCTTCCAATATTTGGCAAAATGATTTCCAAGATTTGCATTACCTACAAAACATTTCCACGCAATACTATATTTTTTTTCTTTATGTGCTCTGATACCATGCTCAAGAAGTGTTAAAGTTTGTATAGTAGGTCTTGTATAAGTATCTAAAATGTATTCATCACGTTTGTCGGAAGTTTCACATTGTTCAATTTTTTGAGAATCGATATTATTTTTTCTCTGGGAAATACTAGAATTAGGATTTTTAAAACTTATATCTGGGGAAATTCCTGCATGTTTATCATAAATATTCTTAAGGTTTATTTGCATTTCTAAATCATTAGGACGTGCTGAAGGCTCATCATTCCATGCTTGACAAACAAATACATAGATGTTAGGTACATAGCTAATTTAATGTAACAAATACCAAATCATGAATTGGATTATGGTGAAATTGGATTTACAAGCCCCATTAAATCTGCTTATACAAAAAATATCCAAATGACATTGCACTAGAGATGCGATCCGTTATCTGCTTTCATATTTAAAATTTAACGGATATCCGGATCGCATCTCTACATTGCACTATGATCCAATTTCATGATTATCCACGACAATAAATAAACAGATATGTTTACCCATTTTGATGAGTTTAGCAAGTTCTCCATGAATTGACAATGAATCATTAGCAATTTCAAGAACTTCACGTTTTTTGCTCAGAACATGTTTTCGGATAACATCACTATCTTTCATATTTTCATAAGGAATCCTTTGATAACAAAGTTCCCAAAGCATCATTCCAAAACTAATAATACAGAAATTTCGTAATTAATAACATTGTAAATAAATTCGTTGCGGAAATATTTGAATTTACCTAAACATTTCGCACTGAAAATTATATTTTTGTTGAGATTCACGCATCTTTTCAGGAGCTAACCATGGACTTATATCGTCTGATGGAATTTTAACGCTTACGCCATCTTCAGTACGACTGAGTTCGAAATTTGAAATTTTAGGCTCAAATCTATCTGTTACCTACAAATTTTAAAAGATTATTGTATTATCTAAAATACCAATTGACGATTATAAATTACAGGCCAAAAAAATAATATACATACTAAGATGTTTTTGCAACGGATATCATGATGTAAAATATTACAGCGGTGCATAAATACAAGACCGTTAAATATATCTCGTGCGAGCAATAATTTAGTGGGCCATCCAATATCGCATTTATTATACATTTCTCGTAAATTACCAAACGCTGCCCAAGCAAAAACCATAACACGAAAACTATCCACATCCGAAACTCCATAAAAGGAGACAATAAACGGACAAGAACCTAATTTGAGGAGTATAGCTAATTCTGTTTGATATTTTTTTGAGTTAATGGTGTTATTACTTTCATCATGTTGAGATTTTTTACACGCAACTTCAATTCCACGATAAAGCTTCTTAATAACATTTCCATTAGCTCCACGAACATTATCTTTTTTAGAAAGTGGTTTAGTTAGATCTTTTGGATCTATTTTAGGTGCCTTGAATTCTTCCATTACAAATGCAATATCTGTATCACTGGTGGATGAAGTATATTGTTCCATTAATGCACAAACCAATGGCATTATTTCAGGACGTAATTCATGCTGCAGTTCAGATTGAAATTTCTTAGCTAACTATTATTAATTAAATATGAGAGTTAATAATAAAAGTATATGTTATATTCTTCTAAAAATAAGCATCTCTATGTTACGATGAGTTAAGTTTGTTTTTTTTTTATAAGAAAAGTTTAACTTGAGCGTTATGTAGACGGTTTTCTAACTTCAATGGTAGTGAAAATATTAATATTGGAGTGGCATTTCTTGTTTCTGATTCGAATATTCACTTATCGCTCTTTTCGATTTAGTTGGATCGATCTCAATTTAGAATTCTTTTAATTTCCTTTTTTGATGAATAAATTTTAAAAATATACGACGAACATAGTGTAGTTATCTTCTCTGTGAAATAAAGCCACTACAAATTAATTCTTCGTTCAATATGATATTAAATAGTTCATAAAAATGGGAGCATAAAAAATACACAAATTGAACTGTAAAATAATACAAAAATATAAAAAACCATACTGCAATTTGATTGGCATTACGACGGATTTGTAAAATACCCCAAATTTGATATCGATTGTGAGTCATTTAATTGACTTCCCATACAGTCGACTCTGGATATACCGAACTGCATGTTCTGGAGATTTTGTTAGGTATAGAGTAAGTTCGTTACATAGTTTACTCTTTTTATACCGAACTGTTCGGTATATAGAGCTAACCAATAAAATCACGCACAGAACTGGGCTTATTTAGTTTTTGTGCATGGCTTCGCGGATATGAGTATCCGCGAAGTCATAGGATGGTTCGTTATATTGAAATATGCATAGTATGTATACATAGTTCCTGGACTGGTAAAAAAGGGTTCGGATGCGGCATATGATGATTTACTATTTGAGTTCGGTATAACCAGCCTGGATTATTATAAAAATATCTGTTCTCCAAACCCGGTTCGTTATAGTGCGATTTCGGTATGGGCAGGTTCGTTATATCCAGAGTCGACTGTATATGTAAAATGTTGTTATTCTGATATATTTTTAAATTTTCTGTTATCCATATCTGTCAATGTGAATTACGGTCATTGTAGATTATTAAATGGGTGTTTCAAAAGCCCACTACTGGTCCCTATTTTTTTATATAGAGATTACGATGATCTGGACTTTTGAAACACCCAGTATGAATTGTGCAGAAATTTAAAATGGGTTGTGCTTGAGGGAAAAATGGGTTAAGCATATGTGTATTTTTTATAAATTTTGAAAAATAGGGAGGGATTATGTTAAATGAAGAATTAAATTTGTCTGGCCTAATTTGTTATAAATTTGTTTTGTAAACTAAGACGTCTATTAAGCGACATGTATCCTTACGTATATGGCTCGAAAATTTAAATATAAGTTAAATTGCTTATTTAAAAAAAAACAAAACAAACAAATATTTACGAGAGTTGCTTATTTTTAGATAACTATTTAAAATATAAGAGTTTCGAATTGTAAAAATAATACTTACATCTATATCATCAATAACATCCTGTATTTCATTTTCTTTTTGTGTTATATCATATATAACTGAATTCAAACTCAAGTCTTTACAAACACTTTCGAGTTGTTCGATATTTTTATCATAATGAATTTTAATTTCATCAAGATTATTTTTGTACACCTGAAAACATGACATTTGCGTAATTTCCTCAGCAAACTTTTTAATATTTTCCAAAACGTTGATAAGTCTAACCCAATTATCATAATAATCTTGTTTTCGATAAAGATTGTAAGTTCTACGATTTCGTTGCAAGCATTTCACTGCGGTTTGTGTAATATCAATACGATCCAATAACGCCAGGCATGTTTTATTGTAACATTTTGCATTCTCTTGGATTATTTGCATTTGATTGGCTATTTCTGTGACCTTATTTATTAAGGGAATGAATGGCTTTATGTCATCATCTACAATTTGAAATTCATCCGAACCATTAAGTATATTTTTCATAGAATCATATTCAACGAAATTTTTGTTATCCTTTTCAATTTTCCTTAAAAAAATATATTTTATAGCTTGTTAATTTCATGAAATAATTATGCAACATTATTATAAAAAAATATGGACATAAAAGTTTATACTCACTCACTAATAATTTGATAATTAGCCTAGTGAAATTTAATGGTAACTTATCTTTCAAAATAAAATATATATAATATTTACCAATATGTGGTTTCAATTGTAGGCGTAGAAAAACCTATACAACATACATGACATACAAAAATGTTTCATTAAGGTATAGCAAATATAACAAATTAAAATGTATACTATAATTAAATTAAATACTGACAAACATTTTTAGTTTCTTTTAGTGAAGTATGTTTGTTTCCTTCAAAAAGTTTTTCAGTGCTCGTTTGTTCGCGAGGTGAATGATTAATTTCATTGGTAATAAATTCAGTTTTAGAATATGTCGATAGTTTTTCAAGCTTGTCCAAAATTTCCCTCAATGTTAAACGTTGAGATGGTTCAGAAGACCAACATTTACTATAAACATCAACGTAATCTGAAGGAGTATTCTCAATATTTCGTTCTCTTTCGTTATTTATAATCTTTGTTATTATCATTACTGCAGGAAATTTATCAAATGGTGGAATTCCACTTGTGAGTTCCCAGAACAATACTCCTAGACTATAAATGTCAGATTTGTTTTCAAAGTCGGCTTTTCTTCCAAATTTAAGATATTGGGGTTCAGTATATGCTACCATGCCTATTATATTTGTAGTTGTTGCAGATATTTCATTTGAATATTTTGCTATTCCAAAATCCGCAATCAATGCTTGACCATCATTTATCAAAATATTTTTGGAATGCTAGAAGTTTTATACGATTAAAAAATTTATTTATTAAAATTAAAACATACATTAAGAAAATTTAAAGCTCACAAGATCTCTATGAATTATATTTTTGTTATGCAAATACTCCAACCCGAGAGTCATTTCCTTTGCAATTTTAATGAGTTCTGCCCATGAAATTTTGAAAAGACCCTCCCGTTGTTTTTTCTGCAAATAACTCCGTAGGTTACCACCATTAGCTAATTGTAATACTATCATAAAATTCTCCGATTGTGGATCTAAAATTTTGAAATTTAGACAAAATAAAAAAAAAACAGAATAATAAATATCTTTATACCTCTTGAAATTCCGTAAAATTTGATAATATTAGGGTGGTTAACTCTATAGAGAAATTCAAGCTGCATATAATTATATCATTAATTTTTAATTTAATAAGACTAATGCTGACCAAGTATATGTTATTGTCCACGAAGTGGGCAATTAATCCCAAATCTGATAATGACGGAATGGCCAGTGTGCTATTCAGTCATTATCCGATCATCTGATTTGGGATTGATATTTGGTTATGTCCATTTCGCGGAAATAACTATAGTTATTTGACAAAACCTAAAGACAAAATCTCTGACGAAAGACGAAACTCCAAATTCTTCTAGCAAAAGACGAAACTTTAAACTTAAAATGACAAAACCCCCATTCTAATATCCTAGTGTTCCCACTAAATAAAAAAAGTTAATTTTATCTATAAACATTCATAATTTATTCAGAGAGCAGTATCCCAAATTACATGTAAACAAAATAATCCAGTTCATTTTTTAGGGGCAACGCTAAAATAACCTTATCAAAAACCATAATACTCATGGAATAACAAAAACAATGAATCAAACATGCTGCCACCAAGCGATTTCTTACTAGAACTGATATGTAGTGTACTAGTATACAATAATGCAATATAGAATACTTATTTCTAACTCCCTTTAAACAATTCAAGCGCCTATTATATAATAAAATTTGCGATTTTTATAAATTTCTATTTTTGTTAGTTTATTATTTTATTCACATTACTTCAATGAGTTTCAACAACATTTATTGTTTCTTCGTCTTTTATTCATCCTTTGCAGTTCGCCAGTTTCGTCATTTCGTCATTTCGTCATTTAAGGTTTTAATTGACGAAAGACGAAACTAGGTTTTGAGTTTCGTCTAATAACTATATGACCAATTATTAAAACGTTACCTCATTTCTTAATCTTTTAAATGAATCATCATCTAGACATAGGTTATTGTTTAGGCTTTTTAATGCATATTCTCTTTTCTGAAAATATGCGGAATACACAGTTGCAAATCCACCCTGTCCTATACGCTTAAGATTGTTACATTCCGAATAATTGAAACATTTTATATCATGACTTTTTAAATATGTTTCCAACTTCTTCGAATATTCACTTACTTAACACGATACAAATTAACAGCATTAATATTATGAATTTATAATTTAGTTAATATTTTCGCAATAACTCACATGGTTTTTCATTTCCAATGTCAGAATTATCATCATTTTTCATGTTATTATTATATATTTCCTCGTTCATTGCTGCCGTTGTGAATTATTCTTATTGGAAACTAAATCGCTTTAATAGACAAAAAATACGTGTTACAAGGAATCCTAAATTGATTATGAGAAAGATCATGCAACCACATACGTACGTACATACCCGATAATACGTAGTTAAGTTTATATATCGATATATATGCACGCAACGTTCCATTTATTTAACATTGATTGTTGCACAATAATGATTAATTGAAATGCTGATACGTAATAAATGGCTGCTCATAGTCGCACCAAACCAACATAATAGTCATACGATCTGTCACGCAAGTCAGGAGGTAAAATGTAAGCGCTTAAAACAGTCATGATCAGCCCAAATAATTAATTATGAAGGACTCTATTTGTGGCACAGTCGCGAGTTAGTTAGACATATAAGATCTTTTGACGTCCTTTAACCTGTATTAGTGGGGTTCCTTATGTCAAGAAAATTCCGGGCTGAAGATCACTGTAGATCCTTTCCGATCTAATTCCGAAGTTAAAACATTAAATTTCTTTAAACTTCTAGCGACGATTTCTCAGTAACCATTCGATCAAATTTAGTAAAACGTTTTATTTTGA